ATCTATCTATCTATCTATCTATCTATCTATCTATCTATCTATCTATCCCACGTCATTATAGTTGTGCTTTTAAAGTTGTAGCAACGTTTCGGCAGAATCTCATCTGCCATCATCAGGCTTCTGTATAGTATTCGTCTGTGAGTCAGACTTTCACAGCTGTTTCAGTTTTAAATTTGGGGCTAGCCCACTGCTGTGCCAGAATGGTTTTTTCTTCATCCTGATTGGTTGGGAGTCTTGGTCTGTGTTTATTGGTCTTGGAGTTTGCTGTGTTCTGCTTGATTGGTGTTTCTAATATCTTCTGTCTGTTTTGTAGCTTTTTTTTGTCTTGATTGGCTGGCAACATTGTGTTTCCTGTATTGGAGACTTTTAGTGTGGCTTGGCTCTGAGTAAATGGATGGCTATCATTTATTAGGAAGCTAGGTTTCATCTGGGTGCCTGGTTGGGGTGTGTTTGAGCTGGGGTGTGTTTGAGCTGGAGGTGTTTGCCTGGCTTGTGGTGTGGAGGTTTTTTTGTTTGTGAGTGTAGGCTTCCAGATAATTGACAGTCTGGTGGAGATGTGGGTTCATCCTTTGTACGTTGTTGGACTTGTCTATATCATGAGCAGTAGCTTATAAGACTGACCCATCTTTACTTCTCACTTCTTGTGCCTGTCTGTGAGCAGACAAATGAACCTTGGAGGGAATCTCATCAAGAGATACAGTACAATGGCTGATCGCTGTCAGACTGGTGACGCTGAGTTTCTTTGTAATATTAGACCAACTTTTCTCATTTGGGTTTATTTGGAATTTTAGAGTTCTGTAGAATTCTCTAAGGGTTGTGCAATAGCTTATGATTGGGAAAAAAATACGCATTGGTTTTTGCATTTGCACAGCACCACAAAATCCTAGTGCTTACAACAGTGTTTATTTCTGCCTTTTTATACTATGTCCTGCACTACAAACTGTAATAAGTTTGCACCTCTTTGGTTAGAAATAGAGGCTGTGATTATATACATTATTATATACAGTATTACCCACACATGCACAAACATATATATAGTATATATAGTATATATATATAGGGTGGGAGGAAATGCTGGGATAATGGCCTTTTTAAAATTTGCACTGACAGCATCTTTTAGAGCTTTCATTTCAAATAAGATCAGTTTTCCATGCTTCACTATTGTCTTGGGAAATCTATCTTCAGTAGTTGCTTTCTTAAAAGATCTCATGCCCAGCGTCTGTAAGCTTTGTGTAGTTTGCCTATCAAAAGAGATATGTTTACACCTTCCATGCATGTGTTAAAGCTATCAGGTTACAAAGCAGAGTGGCTGATGCAGTTCAGTCCTTCCTACTAATATGCACAAAAAAATGCATCTATGGTAATTACATGGACTGCCTGGAACAATGCATTCCAACATCCTGTAACATAAATAAGGAAGGTGGGGCCAGCTGACATTAAACGATATGTTTGCCAGCAATCTTGATCTCCACTATATATATCCTTTCTGTTACACTGTCTCAGTCTGGCAGCGCTGAACCTGTTGCTGCATTAGCCGAGTTGTATTTTGCTGGATAGGGAAGGAGGCTTGTCTGCTGTCTGGTAGGAGGGCTTTGTCTCTCTCTCTCTCCCTCCCTCCCTCTCTCTCTCTGTCTTTTTTTTTCACTCTGTCTCTCACACTCTCGCTTGCTCTTTTTCTCTCTCTCCCTCCCTCCCTCACTCTCTCTCTCTCTCCCTCTCCCTTTCCCGTCTCTGTGTTTTGTAAGGTAGGTTGCAGTGTGTGTATATACACAACATCAAGAGCAGGAAAATGGACTCATTAGGGAGACAGGCAGTCATTACCATTCACACTGCACTTCCAGGGAGACAGCGACTATGAGGAGACAGACTGAGGACTGGGGAGCAAGGTAGGCCAGCCAACTTTTATAAAAAAAAATGAAAAGAAAGAAAAAGAGAGAGAAATTTCCTTCCTCCCCCACAACACCCCTTTCTTCTTGATACTTCTCTGTTAGCTCATCTCGTGTTGCTTTTTTGTTTATATTTTAGTGATGTAAGTTTGCAAGACCTGTTAGTGGGCTTAGATTTTGGAATATATATAGGCCTGCTTCTCCATAAATGGATACCCCCTTCTCACTTATTCAAAGATATGCTTTTTTATAATTCACTTTAATTACTTTTTATTTTAAATCAGTGAAGGAAACAAATATGTTTGTTTTTCCAACACTAGTTCCAAGTAAATCATTATCTTTCACTCCTTTAAAACAACCTTCTCCGTATGTTAGTGGGTTTCTGCTCCCCCCCCTTTCTGTTTATACAGTTCCATCTGTCTGTCCATATATCATATACTCCTTGTTTACTGTTGCATGTTTCTGGAGGGTTTTTTTTTTTGGTTAGTATTTGTAAATGAGTTTTACTGTAATGCCGGCAACCAGAGAATACAGTGACTGCTCTTTGTTTGGTGTATGTAAGTTTAAAGTCCATATTTACTATATATAAAAACAAATTTCAGCCTGGTATGTAGGCTTTACTATTCAGAAAGATTTTTTAAAGAAATAAAATAAAATAAAATTCATATTTTGGGACTGAATGCATTGTTGTATATGTATTTCTCTCTGATGGTATGTTTAAAAATACATTACTTTCAATTTGTTATATAGAAAAAGGGTTCTTAATTTTGTTTATTTATTATATGAAAGAGCATGTAAGAATTTAAACTTTTAAAAGGGGAGCTACGGACCTTGGTTTCTTCCTTTCCAGCCCCCTCCTTAATATACAGAACTCTTCTCAGCTGATTCTCTCCCTTCTAGCCTTCACTGTGTGTTTTGATCTGTGTTACTGAAAAGTGATATCTTTTACAGTGTCCCAGTATATCTTATATAATTTTTAAAATTCATCTGATAAGCTACATATTCTTCAGGAGCTGAAGATGGTTGTTATTTTTATTCTATCAAAAAAGATGAAGTATGTGTATACCCTATTTAATTTTTTTGAGCAGCTTTTCATACGAACTTCCGCCCCCTCCTGTTTTTAAGTTTGTTTAAACTGAACCATTTAATGGCCTTTTAAGCCTGAATTTGTGTCAGGGCTGCCACAGAATAAAACTTCTCCTTTCCTGGCTCTTTAAAAACAACAAGAAAAACTACAAGGGGATTGTGTAAAAGATTCTGAAAAACCACGAGTAATTACTATGCTTTGGAAATAAATGTTAATCAGTAGAAGTTAAGTTTTTAATACTTAGTATTTTTAATTTGGCTGTGCTTATATTTAAATGCAGTGGAAAAACTCCTTACTTTTCAACAGTGATAATCCATTAACAACAAAAATAAATAAAAAGAAACTTTATATTTTTAATTGTATTAGGCCTTTCTTGATTTCAGAGGCCTGAAAGCTAACTCAGCTTTATTTCCATCATCCATGTACTTTTTTTCAAAATAAGTGCTTGATGGACTTAAAAATAAAAGCATTGCAAGGTTTCAGGAAAAAAAATAGATAAAATTTTCACCTTTACTGAAGTTGCTACTTCTTCCAGGATGACAAATAATCCAGAATATTTCTTGGAAAACAGAGCTCCTTCTTGCTTTGATATAAGCGTACTTTGAGGGAGTTTTTGCTGTCTTACTCCATTTAGATTAAATATTTTAGGACTAGGATTATTGGTACAATTCTGTAGCATTTGCCATCCCCATAATATATTACTTGATTTGATAATACAACATGACCTTCCAATCTTATTCTTCCTATACTTTATGAGCACATCAACAGTTGCCTACAAATATTCTAAAGTTGAAGTATATATTAACTAAGTTATGTATACATGTGCAGTTCTACTCTGAATTTCAAATCTTATAATGTTGATCAGATATGATAAGTTATCAAGAGAGCTCTGATGCATTCATTTAGTGTCGTTGAAGTTAGACTACTTGGTAAGTTTTAGCAGTGATTAGAAGTCCAATATCCCAATAGCAAAAAATAATTTAACCAATATTGGTATATCTACTGTTTGGGATTAGCTTTTTTACTTGTAGGGATTCTTGTGTTTAATTTTTTTTTTTTTTTTTTTTGCTATATGTAAGAAATGCCAAATGAACTACCTTTTACAGCCCATTAAAAAGTAAAATATATTATTTTAATGCAAGCCTCAGATGAGGAATTATTTCATTAGAGAGAGAGCAAAGTTGTATTTGAAAATTATAATATTTTCTCAGTTACAACTTTTAAAAAAACTTGCCATTATAAAAAGTGAATTTGCCAATAAAATACTGACATTTTATCCAAAATATTCTTCAAAAATTTGTAATTAGAGAATTGGATTGTGAAGAACTTGCAGGAATTGCTAAATTGTTTTACTGGGGGGAAGAGGTATTTTTGTAAAAGATTAAAAATCCTTTGTAATCTTTGTGCTGAAAATGGATAAAAATGAACGGAGGATTTCCAGATTGACCAATTAATAAGGCTATTGGTATAGGAAAAAGAGAAACATGTTATGAAATTTAGAAGGGAAAAGGATTTAAATTATGCCTATACTTGCTTTAAAGAAGATTGTAATTTTAAGTATGCTTATACTTGCTTTAAAAAAGATTGTTTTTATTTTTTCTTTTCCTTTGATTTTAATTGTTCTTAACAGTTTTTAATGTATTTTATTTTTTCTATGTTTATGTTTTAACTTTGTAAAAGACTTCTCTATGTGTGTGTGTGTATGTGTATGTGTATGTGTGTGTATAAACTAACAGATATATTAAGTTTGATTATTTATACAAAGAAATGAAGAATGTTTTGTTATGAGCAGTATAGCAGTAACTCCAAATAACCAAGTTGGATATTATGAATTATGCACCTAGAAACTCTTTGAAGTCCCTTCCCATTTAAGATTAGAGCATCCTATGGTACGATTGGTTCAGTCACAGCATGCTTTATTTTAGCATTGGAACTGACAGTTATCTAACACACCCACATAATGAGGAAGTGCTCTGAAGTAGTTATTTCATGCCTTGCCATGCCCTGTGGCTAAAATAATTTGGGTTTGCTGATTATGTGTATGTATATGTATATGTACATGTACATATATGTTCACATTTTCTTAAATTTGAGAAGTTTGGTTGCTGTGTATTTTTAAGTAAGGTCAGAATATAGAGATGCCAAATGGTAAGATTTAGTCAACAAAAAATAAATTTTCAGGAATTTTGGCTGGATTTGGCATAAATACAGTTTATTGATGTCTTTAGACTTTGGTTAACATTTTAGAAAAAATAAAGCCTGTTTATTTTGATGAAGTTGAACTTTTTGGGAATGGCTCTATAAAATTACTGCAAATATTTCTTTCATATTTCTATCCCATTTCAGCTTTAACTTCCAAGTAAATAACTGTGCAGCAGTAATAAAAATGACAATCTCCATGTTAGAATTTTAAATTATTTTAAAATTACTACATCTCCATCCCTTAAGGTATTATAGTTTGCAAGAAAAATGGTTTTAACCAACGTTTTGTCTAGAATAAAATATATTTAAATGAGTTGCCTTGATGAATGTTATACTTATATGATGGTATAGAATTATTATATATTGTGACAAAGATATTCTAATGGTAAGAAGCTTCAGCATATGAATAATTCATATTTTATACAAAATTATTCAGTTGTTTTTTCAAAAGTGAAGGTTTTGTTATTTTAAAAATATTTAATTGGAGAGTATTTTCTTGTAACTAGCAAGTTCTCTCCCTGTGTAGACTTGGCAGTACAGCTGCTGCAGCTAGAGAGAAACAATAGTAACAAAAGTGAAACTGATTTCAGCTAAAATGCTTATCCAGCTCAAGCAGTAACAGATTAAACAAATGAAAACAGTTTTAAAAGGTATTTCATCACTAGTAAACTAAAGTTTTCTTGGAGAACTGTATTGCTGAATTAAATTGTTTATGCCACGTTTTACCAATTTATATCAGCAAAAGTTTCTTTTTGAGTTTGGGCCAGATTCCAATGTGCACAAGTATTTTGTTACTCAAACTTTAGAAGTTTCATACTAATATGATATCAATATAGTACTGCTGCAAACAACAATATCAATAATATGATATATAGTATAAATATGAAATATGAGTATAAATAAACTATGCCACAAACTATTTTTCACTGTAACTATGTCTTGGTCTCTTGATAGGAATTGTTTTTTTTAAAATCAGGATTCAGACTAAAGTGAAGAATTTTGTGGAACTAATTTTAACTATAAATTTGGTTTAGAATAGATATAGCAATAAAAGAATGGATAAATTTCATTAGGCACAATTATGAATAACATCTAACCTGGTGCTTTTAGTATGCGTTACTTCAAAATATAATTATACTAGTCTGTGTGTCATTGGAATAGGCTCTTATGAATTATCTTTCATCTAGATTGCATTCAAGAATGAGGGTAGAATTAGGGGAGAGATTCTGTTTTATGTTGTCATTTTTATTTTGGGTTGGCTGTCACATAAATGTTAGCCATATTTCTTTAAAAACGGGAAGATTGTTTTGTTGCTTTTACCTTTGTTATTTTCAATTCTGTAATACTATATTTTATGTTCTAAAAGTACTTTATTGCAGTGTGTATGTCTGAAAATGTGATGAAATGGGTTTTTACCTTTGCCTCTTGATCTCTAATTTAATTCAAGTTTTGGAAAATCTGCTGTAATTTTCTTCAAATTGTAAACAGTGTAAGACTGAATTCAATATAATAAGGAATTAATTTCATATTTACCATACAGTAGTTGCTAATCTGAAACAAAACAAGCCACATTATGGTTTAGCATATGAGGAACTAAGTCACGATATTAAATCATAATGTAGTTTGTTGGTTTGATTTAGCATACAGGCAGGCCTCGACTTACAACCACAACCACTTTGTTTGTCAGAAGGTCACAAAAGGTGATCCCATA